GGGGGTGGGAACGCCAGACGCCTGACCATACATACATGTATATATGTATGCACGTTTATTTATACATGCAGAATATGGCACAGGGGAGCCGTGCCTAAACTCCGAGCTTGCCAGGCAGACATTGTCCTAGCCTCTGACGTCCTCTACGAGAAGCAAACAGCCGAGGCTCTGGTTAAAGGGATCGAATGGAGGGAATGGAAGGAGTGCCAGAGCTGAGCTCTGAGCCCTGTACCAGGACTTCGTGCGCACTTGTGCGGACCATTGCATCGTAGTATCCTCTCGGAAGGTGATGAGACATCAGAAACGCCGGCTCTCTGTGTTTGTCCGGAAGCAGGTTTGCACAAGCACACTAGATTGTCCTCAGAAGCCAAGAGTGCGAATAGATTGTGCGCGCAGGCCAGTCGTTGGTCCCACCACGGTCTTTGTTTACAGCTGTCACACTGCGCCCGTCTATTTTAAAGAGCCTTCCCTCATGCACAGATGACAGTGGGAGCGGAATAAAGCCTGTTCACATGGTTCCGTCTTACTGATAAGATGGTTCTCGTCCAGAGGAAGCAATAAAGTTGCACGCGCACACACACACACACACCAAGTTGTGACTTGATCAATTGTGGTGGCAGCTTCTGCTTCGGGAAGAAGATATCCGCAACACTTTGACTGCGAAGCTGCTTTTCTGGCCAGGCCATGGCGCAGCGTGTGGTTGAAGCGCGGCAGCAGAACTGTGCAGTTCTGATCAGATCCTCGTCGAACGAAGACTCGAAGAGTCAGAGTATGCTTTGGCTTTCCCTTTGGCCACCAAAGCCAGGGCCGGCAGAGCCCCGCCGTGTTTTCCTGCACAGGTGATATCGGAAGGCCGAATCGGAAGGTCTTTATCGAGAAGCTCGCCGGCCTGAGGTGGGAAGCCGGAAATCTCTTGAGCCCCCGCAGGTTCAGGTTGAGCATCTTGCAGATTCACATCTCGCACCATGGTGATGCCGGATCGTTGACAATCCATATCGTCAATGAGCAAGCATGACAAACCGTTCATTTTCAATCGGGCCCACCTTCCTGAAGCTTCCAAAGTCAGCCTCCTGTAGTGTGACGGGTGTGACGCGTTGCAAGTGAGGCTTGCAAGAAAAGCCTGCGGAGGCCGGAAGAAAGCAGCGAGTTCGCCAGCAGCGGCACTGCCGTCCAAAGAGTTGGCGGCACCGAAGCTGGCAGAACAAAGGTCGGTGAAACCGAACCGACCGTTCGGTGATACTTCGGATTCGGAGAGGTTAACCACCTCTTTACCGAGAATCTTCTGCTTTGTTTTTTTCAGGGAAGGAATAACTTCGGGTAGCCGGGTAGCCTATTTTTATCAAGGCGAGCCGGAAGCGTTGGTGAAGTGGATTCGGAGCCGGCACTGCGCGCAGTCGAAGCAAGTACCAGGGGCCTTCCCGAAACTGCGAAGATTCTTCGGCACGTTGAGGCCTTGGGCTCGGCTAGGCTGTCTAGGCGGTTTGAGAGCGCAGTCCTAGAGGTGGAGCTTTTGGAGCTGCCGGCAAATGGTCCAGCCAGTGCGCCTCGGCTCGGTGCAGAACTGTTGCAGATCATGCGCCGTCAGATCATGTCAGTGCGGGGTGGCCATGCATTCTCCCCAATCTGCAGGATTCTCCTGCTTCAGGGAATTCGAGATTCGGGGTTTCGGCAATGTAGTCTAAGACAGGGAGCTTGTGCAATTCTCAGGATGATCGGGAGGGTGCGAGAAGTGCCATCCTGTCGAGTCATGGCCTGTTCACTACATGCCCACCTGGCCAAGGTCTACTCCGAACTGTAGCGCTACAAAAACCTTTTAGTTGAGATGTTGAGGATGCTTGTTGAACACACCTTGGCAAGCCATCCAGCTCCTGAAGCCCTGCCTTCACTCCTAACAACTTTACAGCGAAATTGTGACTGTAGCTTGTGCGCCCAACACTCTAAAAGGTAGATGTCGCCGCCAGCAGACTAAACTGAGTAGCGAGACGGACCGAGGAAGCGTTGGCTCAATGGCCACCAGCTGTTCTGAGCCGGCCGAGCAACCACGGGCATGTGCTTTAGAGTCGACGCAGATCCAGGGTCTTGTGCTTTTCTGGAGGCCGAAAGACGGGGCTTGCTTCGGAGTGTGAGCCCAGGTTTTTGTCATTCCCTCTGAGGGCGGCTATGCCAGGCTCTGTCCGTGAAGCTATGTCGGACGCTTTGACCCTCCAAGAGGATCCATCGCGCAGTTGCAGGTTCCCGTCGGCATGACACCGTCCATGTGCTCGGCTCTGCGTCATGAAAGGAAGCTCTCGAAGCTCCGGTTGGAGCCACCGTGCTTTCTGAATGGCAACTGCAGTAGCAGCCCTTGTGCTGAAGCTGACCCATACGGATCATTTCATTTCGGGCGAGATGAGCCCTCTCAGACCTCAGCTTGGGGCCAACTCCTGAATGTGTTTAGGGCACGCCTTGACTTGTGGGACTCGCGCCTCTTCAATGGGCACCTCCAGCCAACAGCGATTCGAGGTCTTTTCGTTCAGAGTTGGGTCAGAGGACGTTCGGGGTCTCCGACAGGCTCTTAGGAGGTCTCTGAAGTTTCAAGTGGTGCGTGACGGTGCGTGGTTCCATTGCGGCTGCGAACTTGTTTCGTGCAACTCGGGCCCACGAGCTGAGGCAGACGCCGAGGACTTGGCCATTATGGCGCTTGCAGAGGCCAGAGGGAAGAAGCTGTGGCTCCATGTTTTCTTTGAAGACGGGGCCGTCAGCCAATCGCCTCAGGCTGACCAGCGGCAGCTGGCGCTGGCCCTCTGCCCTCGTCCGACCCAAGGTCCCGGCACCACGGTTCCTTGGCTCCGTCACGCTGTCGCTGTCGTGTCAAGAAAAGATGGAAGTTCATCGTATGTCTAACGGCCGGACCTGATTAAGCCACTGTTCTCCAGCAGCCACAAATGACAAAGCATCGCAAAGCTACCTACTTCCCATGTCTGATCGTGAGCAGACGATGGCTGATCTGGCAGAGGCCGAGGAGTTCCTCGAACTGCTGCAGTGCCGGGACGCTACCCGACATGCGGCGGCCCTCGAGTCCGCGAGCCATGGGATCGTTCAGACGGCTACGAATCTCCTTGGGAAAGTCCTCCCAACGCTAAACTGCGCCATGAAAGGCGAGGTCTGGGATGTCTGCTGTCTGAGCTGGGGCCTTTCTTCGACGACAGCACGACGGAGACATTGAAGCAACTGCACTCTTGCCGTGATGAAGTGGTGCAGCTCACGGTTGCTTTCGTGCTAAAGAACGTGGAGGGCGCCGGTTGCTTCGGACAGGTCCTGTCGGACCGGAGGAAGGCTCGAGCTGGTATGCCAAGCAGGACTGCAGGACGTCCGGGACGATGATGAGGTCGTGCTCGCTGCAGTTGCTCAGAACGGATGTGCAGTACATTGTGCAAGCCAGGCTATCATCGACGGACTTGCAGGACTCCGTGCACTTGGTGAGGGAGGAGGCACCTTCCGATGCGGTGAACACCTGGTGATGAAGCAGATTGGCAACGGCATCTATGCTGAGGTCACAAGCACCGAGCACATGATCACCGAGAACGCCGTGGCCATCGTAAACAACGACATCTCGCCACAGACTCTTCGTGAAGTGTCACTGCCACGCAAGTTGAGGCATCCCAGTGTTGTGAAGATGATCGAGGTGATGCATATCGGGCTTTTCGAGCTTCCGCTCATCTTCGAGCTTCATCCGACAGACCTTCACAAGGAGCACCAGTGAAAACGTGTGACAAAGCCAGGGCACGACTGAATGATCGAGGCCAAGAAAGATTTTTGCGAGTACGAAGAGTTGTCCGGTTTTCAATGCGTTCGATGACTCCGTCGATGACCGTCAGAAGATCAAGATCGGCAGCAGCACAAAACAGCCGGGCAGTGCGTGCTTCAAGTGGCAAAATAATGCCGCGCTTCTACAGGGCACATTGCTGCCTTGCTCCGGCTTGCATCCGACAAGCTCAGCAGCGAAAATGCAATGTCCAAAGGACACCTCTATCACCTACGGCAGCTAACACCCTACGGTCCTAGACTGGGCGTTTCTGTTTGCCGAGAAATGCTCGGCAAACTGGAATGCGCGCGAGCCCTGACATCTGAGCATTGTCCGTCCTGATCCAGGCGGTAGCCTTGCGAACCAACTCAATCTCTGTGTTTGCACGCTGTCGCCGTGGTTTCCACCGCTGCTGTTGGCATGTTTTTTGTTTGCATTGTTGTAGTCGTGATTCTGGCGCAGTTGCAATGATGGTGTTGGCGGAGACGCTCGTTGCGGTGTCGTTAGCTGCTGTGATTGCCGCTGTTACGATTGTTTGTTACAGATTTGTAGCTGTTGGTTGATTATGTGGTTTTGTGTTTGCTGCAATTGTTGATTGTGGTTGCTGCAGCGCAGCTGTTGACATGAAGTTCGCTGTCATGTCTAATTACTACTAGTTGTTGTCGTGGGCTTTCTGTTGCTGCTGTTGTTGTTGTTGTTGCGGTGGCGGCGACGCTGCTGGTGGTGCATGGGCCCATAGTGGTAATAGTGCCGATGTCGGTGCCGGTGGTTGTAGTTGTTGTGGTGTTGTTGGACGTGATTTTGTCATTGTGGTGGTGTTTGTTTTCTTGCGGTTGTGGTTGTGGTTGTGTTGGTTGTTGGTGGTGCTGCAGTCCATCATGCAAGAGCATCAATGCAGCATGCTGCTCTGCTTCACCCGAGCGACCATGACGGCAGCCTTGGTAATGCTGGTGTGACACGTCTGCTCACCAGAGCATCCCTGCCGCTTCCCACAAACATGCGAAAGACTCGCCGAGAGAAAGCACATGCAACAAGCCACGTGCCCATGCTGTCGTCTTTTGTCTCCTGCGGGTCTGTTCTACTTTTCCCCTGCCCTGCTGGCCACGAGGCTTTGCTGATGGCTTGTGAGCAACATGGACACGATCAGGCCAGGGATTTGAACGGTTGTTGAGACATGTCTTAGGTTGCAGCACTAGCTGCTGCTGCCTGCTCTTTTCGTGCGGTCACAGCGGTCGAAATACACCTAGGGATCGCCCAGCGATTTACCCGCAGCTAGTTGTGGCGCGAAGTTGTAGCGTGTCACATGCCCCAACACCGCACGAGGCGGGTTGCTTTCAGGACTTTGGCTGGGTTGCAGCAGTGCAATTAATAAGCGGGTTGTTGTGTAATGGGGCACCTGAACCTCGAGCCTTGTTCCCGATTAAGCACCCATGAAGAGGAGGAGCGCCGCGTGCTGTCGGGGCGCCTCTTGGCTTGACATGACCAGTTGCTACTGTAGCCTTTAAATCACACCGAACGGCAGCGCGCATGGGGTTACACAGGCAAACTGGAGATCTTTCCCATCTGCCGACTCTCGGTTTGAAGCACGTAGTGATTTCATGCCTTGGCCAGTTGCCGATGCACTCCCAGAAGAAGTGGCCGTCTTGCTGCGCAAGACCAGCACAGGTCTCCTCAGCAAGGGGCGGGGAATGAGATCGATTCTGACTGACTGACGGATCATGTTTCAGAGCTATGGCCACCAGTGACGCGTCAAAATGGTTGGACGTTTAGGTTATATCGTGCTAGCACCCAAGCAGCCACCTGTTGAAACTTCAAGGAGTCGTGGTCGTGGAGGTTCGGATAAGGAGGCACTGTATCGTCCCGGAAACGAGAGAAAACTGCCCTGCCAGCTCGGGGAGGCACCATGTGTTGGAATCTTGTCCCTCGAAGCCGAGAGCATCCCACGCATCGAGGGGGACAGGAACTTCCCAGGGCTGTAGATTTATGACCGATGAAAACGGAACCGTCCCACACCCGCCGTCGAAGCAAAAAGAAAACACAAACATCCCCCGCGATCCAAAATCCGAAGTATCCAAGCCAGGGCTGCCCAGCTCAGCGCAGATGACGAACATTCCCACGGTCCCAATCACTGGAGTGCCTCTTGTCCTGTCATACGGGGTTGCCGGACGATGCCGCTTCCACGATACTTGAGACCAGGCTGTGCTGAGAAAGCCTTATAGGCCTTAGGCCTCGGAAAATGCTGAAGCATGTCATGGTGCTTCGGTTCCAAGCACAACCAGAAGCTCAGGTCATCGTCGTATCGAAAGGCTCGGCTGCCTTTGTGTTTGTTGGGTGGCGTGGAGGTATTGTCAGTTTGGCCAGTGTATAGGGATGTTGATCAGCATGGAAACCACCGGCGGTTGTCGCAGCACGGCTTCGACAGGGCGCATGGCTCCTCCCTCCCACACAACTTCTACTTGCACTTTCAGCTGGAGTTGAAGCCCCCAGCTCTCTATCGCTTGAAGGAGACTGATATCGGCTCTTCCTTCATTCTCCTTCCCGCTGTCCAGGAGCTGTCCCTTCTTCGCCGTGCTCTTCGCGTCGAGTCCAACTCACCACATGCTGTGCTGGAGGCGAACCTGGGCAGGGGAAAGCGTGCGAAGAGTGCAGGTTGTGCAGCGCAGAAGGTGACTGCCGTCGCACGTTCGAAAGGGGTACGACAGGAGGCTGAGCCGAGCGAGGCCATATGAACTGATCGGGGCATAGGCAATACCGGCTTGGCCTGTGCAACAAACGATGTCCATCGTATCAGCAGTGTGGTTAGTTACAGTAGCTCGCAAGGTCTTCTAGGCAGACTGGTGGGCATTCCGGATGTGTGATGCAGACTCAGGGCTGTCAAAGCACTACCCGGCGTGCCTTCTAATCTCCGCAACTGCAAGTTGGAAGGTTCCACCTCGGAACCGCAAGCAATCAAGCTAAAGCGTTCTGAACATGTCTGCATAGATTCTGGCCCGACATCATTGGACTTGACGACTGCGGACTGGCGAGGCCATGAGTGATTTCGGCCAAGAGCTTGGCGAAGCTGGCGCATGGGCCATTCGGCAAGCGCGAGAGAGAAGGGTTCGCACATTTTCGCATTGAGTCGATCCGGGAGTTTGGGAGCTCTGAAGCAGAGGAAATCTACACACAAGAGTTGACACTCGAAGAGGCGCAGGATTTCAGATTGCCGGGGCCGGAGACAAGTGGGACAGCTGTTGCTTGCTGTGAGAAGGAGAAGCTGAAGGTTCGCGCCTGCGTTGTGTCATGTGGTCCGAGTATGGTTGGGCTATGCATTGAGTTCCAGCTTATTGTGTAGTTCGGGTTACGACCACGGAGTTTGCGAACCACCGGTGCGTAGCTGAGGCGAAGTTTGCAGGCGGCAGCAAGGTGCGGACTTGTGCAGCTTCTGACTGAGACTGGGGTCCGTTTCGGATTGTGCCTTAGACAGCCTTCTGTAGAATCCTATGCTTCGTTGTGTTTTGCATAGCTAGTTCAGTCAGTTGCGTCGCCGACTGAACCCTTCTCACCATTCCGGTTCGCATCCTCGCGCTCTCCGAGAGGCACAGAGCCTTTTGGCAGCTCTCGGTGGTGCCGCACCAAGCAGCGCAGGGCCGCCAGAGGTGCTAGAGAGCTTCGGCACAAGTCGGGGCTGTTACCTTATGAGATAATTAGGAACCACACACCCAGATTACAGGGTTTAATGTTATTGCGAAATGTTTGCGAAACCATTGCTGAATCTTTGCGCCAGGTTTTTGCGTTACGCATGCTCCCCAATTTTGGGGTTGCGAAATGGGTTGCCAAATCTTTGCTCCCCAAATTTTGGGCGAACTGTTTGCGAAATCTTTGGGCCCAGCAGTTTGCACATCTTTTCGCGATGTTTTGCGAAATGTTTTCGAAATATTGCGAAACAATGCGGCTTATCGCGAAATATTGCGAAGTATTGCTAAGTATTGCTTTTCTCTGCGAAATATACTGCTTTTTCCGCAAAATTTCGGAGAGATTCGCAACCCATGACACAAAGATTTCGCAACCCAAAATCCGGGGAGCGTAAGTAACGCAAAAACCTAGCGCAAAGAGTTCGCAATGTTTCGCGAAATACTTATTCATGTTGATGCGCGTCTGAGGCCCTAATCATCTCATAACTGTTACCATTTCGAGACCTTCGCGTGCCAGACTGGTGTCCGATGTAGGGATGCCACAGACACAGAGGAGGTTCCCGCATCTGAACTCACGACCCTGGGTGGTGGAGTGGAGCAACGTGCATCGAAAGGGGACGAGCACTTGAAGGGATGGCTTGCTTATAGGCTGAGAGATTAATGAGATGAATTAATGACCAACCTTTTGCTGATCTCTCATTTTTTGGGAAATGCGGTTCAGGACGTGTTCAACGATTGGGGCATTTTGGGGTCGGCGATCTAATCGTTGTTTGGACAACCTTTCCTGACACCACCTCTGCTGAACGAGGTTTGGGTGTTAAGTGTCGCATGATGGTTTGACACTCAACAGCAAGAAAACTGAGAAAATATCCCATCCTGATGACTTAGGTTTTTTTCCCCGTGCAGTAGGGACCATCTTATCATCATGCGATTGGACGACGAACGGAACTTACATTCGCAAACCTTGGGCTTTCACAACTCCGATGATCAACCTCATGATCGGTTTACCAGCTACGCGGTTACCTACGCTGTGATGGATGGTTTGTGCAGTGTTCTGAAACATCGTCGCTGGTAGTGTGGCCGACAGTGACCGGCGCTTTCGTTGATTGGGCCGTCTGGCCCTCCACTACTTTGGTCGTTGCATGCCCGGCCGCCACCACTCTACCGTTTCTGTGTCTTACCCACCTTGAAACCCTCTCCCCTCCACCAATCCCGAAACCATATAAACGATTACAAGACTCTTGTACGAAATGGAAAGTACATTCCGGCAGCAGAACCAGGCATGATAAGCGGATTTTGAAAGCCTGGCGTCCGTCACGAGCACAGGATTGGGACGTATTGCTCCTACTCGGCGATCTCAATCGTCACGGCCAGCTCCGCGCAGGCCTCGAGGGCACGTAAGTACGTTGGATGGAGCTCCTCTTCCCGGGTTTACAACGTGACAACAGGTTCAGTTTATCTCAGCTCTCACCACAAATATGCAGTATAGACCATCTAGATCAGTCGACTGGGAAGAATGAGATGTGGTACGTGCGAAGGCAAGGCCGGTGAAGGAGTGAGGCTCGTGTGGGCTCGTTCAGGTGACGTCCATTGAGATCGACCCTGTACTCGTCGCGATTGCGCGAGGCACAGACCTATAAAGCTTAATCTCCATGAAGTGCTTCGGATGGCAGTTGGCTCAAGGACTTTTCACACCAGGTCCGAGACTGCTAAAGTCCGTTTCGCAGGCAGTTACAGCATGTAACTTCTTGCACTGCGGTGTGTCTAAACTTGCAACACCATCAGGGCGCCCGAAGGATCAGAATGCAGAAGCCCTCCCAATATCTGGCTCCTCCGGAGGCATCATCGCACACGCGGGACTGTCCACCAGAGTTCGCGTTTGGACGGGACACTCGCGGCTGCAGGGCTGCGCCAAGGGTTTGTCGTTTTGAAAAGTTTCTGTTTCACTCACCACCTAAGCTTGGCATATCTTGGCCTTTCGGGGTGAGTATCGGAACAGAGAGACTCGAAAAGGCTTATGAAGTGTTTGAATTGCTTTGTGAAGCTTTCGGACAGATGCCTTGTGAAGGGCACTGCGGTGATCTGCCAAGGCTTCTCCTGCCGCTGCTGATGGAGCGACGCTCTGCAGTTTTAGGGCCTCAGGGCTTGTCTGCTATAGTCTTTACCACTTTGTTTGCTTTGGGGATCTTGGGCATTGGGCTGAGATTGCCAGAGGCATCTTTATCCCTTCCGGGAGTTGCGAGGTGACAGTGGGCAAGGAGAAGCATTAAGTTTGATCATATGCAGGAACGTCGCACTTAACGACCTCCCCCTCTTTACCAAAAGCCCACCGAACAATAACAGTATTTGTCGGAAATCCACTTGAAATCCTTTGAACCACAATTTGGGTTGGGGGTTCAGGATCTTAAAGTCTTAAAGCAAGAGCAGGAGCAGGAGCAAGAGCAAGAGACGCAAGAAGCAGGAAACTAATGAAAGGACCCCCCATATTCTATCACTTTTGAACCCTCCGATACTACAGCTTAACGAATGAACTATCTAAACTTGCTGCGAGGCAGAAGTAGACCTTCTTTGGCCTTCTGAACTTGCACCTCCAAAACACTAAGCCACTAAACCCCAAACTCACAAATCTGCCAATCTCGTGAGGCAGACAGCAAGAGAGGCCCACAGCACCATGGTTCGATGCGATGCTCCTGGAATGTGTTGGGACAGGTTTTTAGGTTTTCGCTTTTGAGAAGGGCATGGTTCGGTCTCGAGCTTTGGTTTGAGTTCTTGAACTGCAATCAAAGTGATCGAAAATACAGAGCAAGGATTTGTCGCTGCGAAACGCAAGCCCTGGACGGCAGAGGTTTATTGATCGCTGGGGCACTCAATACCCGGTGCCATGGCTGCAGGGAGTCGCTAGCAGCTAGCATGGTTGCAAGCTTAACAGGTGCAGCCATACACAGCAAACTTGAAATCGAAACGGCTTGTTGCATGAGCTTCGGTTCCGATGGCTGACAGGCCACATGCGCGCAGCTATGCCCAATGCATATGCAATGCTGCTATACTACTTCATATGTCGGTTTCGAGACCACATGAGCTTCTCAAGTAGCTCTATGCCTAAGCTGGAAACTTTTGCCCAACATGACGGCTTGCACGCAAAGGCATAGGACATCGGCGCAAGGTCCGAACTAGCCCACTCAAAACTGGAACTTCATATAACATCCCTCTGCCAACTGCACACATTCACAGATCACACGCAGGAGGATCTTGACTTCGTGGAGAAGCTCGGGCTCCTGAGGCGCGCTTGGATGATTCGGCGCTTGTCGAGTTGTCATCGTTCGGCTACCAAATCTTTATTTGAAATTACTGGGGAGTTGTTTGCAAGCATCCTGTGCATGCTTCTTCTTTGCAGATATGCCAAGGAAGAGAGCAAACTCTGACGGCAGAATTCCAAGAGGATTTCCGGAACTCAGGCAAACAGGTAGTTCCCGAGCGCAGGCAAACTAGGCTCGCTTCGGAACCCAATTGCGAAAGTGTGCGGCGGGAAGAAACGACAGCGGGAATGCATGGAAGCCGGGCTTGTCGCCTCAGGACCTCCATAGAAATGGAGAAACCAAAACATCAGTATAGCAGGTTCCAGATTGCAATGTAGAACAACATTGCAAACGAGGGACGTGAGCTCCGGAAAACGGCGGGAGCATGAAAGAAACCCGAACCAATTCCGGAAAACAGCTTCGCCAAAGACAAAAGCTAAGCTGCCACGGATTTCCATCTGAATTCGTCGGTCCCATGTCTGTATCCATGTCGGGCCGGAACTGCAAGGCCTTCAGGTGCACTTCTCGTCGCGGACAATGTTCTCCGAACGGCGGCGGCGCTTTTCCTGTGGCGTCTCACCACAGACAAGGCGCAGCTGTAGACCGAAATTCCGAAACCCACTGGACTACATCGGTTTGCGAATGTTTGCAGTAGCGCAGGGTGCAACTCCCGGAAAGCCAGAAGAGCAGACGCTGTGTCGAATCTGTGCATGGTGCGGGCAGGTGCAGGAGCCCTCTGGCAAGCTGCAGCGAATTTTTGCGTCGCGAACGGTCGAAGTCAACGAGGTTGGTGATGCTTCCGATGTGGATTGGATGTCGGTTTCTTGGCCTTGTTAAACCTCCAGCTACCAATTCCTGCAAGGCGGACACTGAGACACCTCTGAGCGCATCTGCTCATGAAGTTGCAAGAGGTAGACACAGGCAACCCGTGTTGCTTGCAAATTTGGAGTTTTATCGCGGCACCGCTCCACCATGTATATATATATATATAATAATATGTGATTATTGATGTATATATATATATATAAATACGTGCTCTTTTGCTTCCAGTAAGTACCCGTTCCGAAAGGAACCACAGAGAAGAAAGATGTGCTGACGTTGGCTGTGGGGCAGTCTGCGGAACAGCCTGAGGTCAGCGTAACTTTGCGCGGCATTCCTGACGAGCAGGCATCACACCGCGACGAGCAGCTTTGTCATGGTTTGTCTAAACCATGTCCGCGCGTTTCCGATTTCAGACACCCGCAAGTCGACTTGAGCTTATCCCTGGTAGTACTTGCTTTGGACCGGCTTTGTGCAGGCCTTGATAAGGGAGCAGGTGCCAGATGAATTGGAGGAGATGCTCGGGTGTCGGTTGCATTGTATACAGTATGGATGTAGAGCGCAAAGTCGGTGGGGGTGCTCGTAGATGCGCCTAATATCGTCTTCTGTCGACATCGCAAGCCTCGCCACGAGCGAAAAATCGTATTCTTTTGTGCTGTGGTACAGATTCTCGTCCCTGTGGCTACTCGTAGGAGCTGCAACGGGTGTCCGAGCTCATGCGCTTGCGGACGACCAAGGCCTCTGGCTGTTTCTTGAACACATTTGGCAAGCAATCCGGTCGAGCTTTGTTTCCATTCTCAGGCAGGCAGCTTTGTTTCCCCCGCAGAGATCCAGGACAGGGAGGTTTGCTGTTCTTATCTCCCCATGCATCCTGCAGACCGGAATCCCGCGACTGCTTGCAGGGCAGGTTCGTCGTATTCCTCCACGCATTGTCCATGCATGCGTTTGTTGCCCTCTGCAAATCCACAGCCATTTGCCCAAAGTGTTCGACGTCGCAGAGGGTAGCAGGCCCGAAGTTGGTATGCTGTTGCAGCAAGCCCCGAATAGAAATTCCGTACCCTCATGCTTGCAGAGGACGCCGTGGGATCGGCGAAGGCCGTGCTTGAATCTGCTGGGCTCGGACCTACATGACGACAGTTGGGTGGAGGAGCAAGAGGTCAGATTCTTGGCCCAAATTAATGAGTCAGCGGGGTGTATGGGTTCGAAGGGTAGAGTCTCGGAGTCGCGTGACGGCACCCGAAACAGGTCAGCATTGTTACCCCAGTTCGACGCACATGACAGTCCTGCCGTCTCTATGTTTGGGGGTTTCGGGTTGAGGACGCTACGACAGGGATACTTTAAGCGGTACTCTAAGGGTTGCTACAATCGTTTTAGGGCTCAGGTAGTTTTGAGTGTGCTGTAGTGTTGTCCCAGCAGTGCGACCCAGTCAGCTAGGCGGGAGGGACAAAAGATCGAGTTTTCTGCGGTTTGGGGAATGACCGCTGCGGCCCGAAGAGACTAAACTCCAAGACCCAGTTCCTCACTTTTCCCGATGCTTTGCAGGAGAAAATCCTAGAGCGACTGGAGCCAGCGGTGCGACGTTACGAGGCCAAGCTCTTGCGTTCGACGTGACCGTGTTGCCGCCTTGCAGTGTGGTTCTTTCTGGCTTCAGTGCCGACATGGCTATGGGTTCTTTAATTCAGGGTTTCAGGTTTAGGGTCTAGTCTACTTTAGAGGCTATTTAATGGTTACAACAGAGTTTGGGGGAGTATACTATGAAGACAATAAGAAGAAGTATGCTACGAGAGAAGCCAAATGAGCAGACGCAGTGGTCGACTGCCGCCACGAGCTTGCAAAGTGTTGCTGAAGAGCAGTCGACATTCGAGCTGTTCCAGCGCAACTTACTCATCCACCTCATGGTATTATTGTGCACACTCCGTTTCGGGGGCTGTATACTTACACAAACGTTATAACTCCAAGGAAAAATGCTACTCGAACATGCAAGTATGAAAGAAAACCGCAGAAAGGATCCCCATCATTTGGGTGCTACGGGTGTACTTCTAGGGCAGCAGAGTTTCAATGGACTTCTGCGGAGGCCTATCTCGGCGCAGGTGACGGCGAAATGGGGATGCAGAGGCACGTGGCATGCTGCACGAACATTAGCTGCGATGTAAAGTCGGGAATGTTTAAGGTTTAGCTTCTCTGGTTCTCCCGCTGTCTCTTTGCAGTAAGAGTCTTGACACTTATCTGTCGCAGGGCAAAAACGCGAGAAATCAAGACTGGAAGACAGACGCCCTGAGACCCCGATACATCTGTCTTCAATCCTGGAGCCATCAACCGCCAAATCCCGAGCCCCGCGTCCGGACCGTTCATACTTTTGCCGTGAGAGTTAAATTGGGAGAGGCCGAATAAAAGGGGAAGTGCAAAACCCAGGTCTTGGCCCAAGCTCGGGCAGCCATCGGTGAGCCAAAGCTTTGACCTGCACTATCTTGCACTTCGAGGCAACAATCAACGGAGTGGGGGGAGAATTTCAATCGAGGGTGTTCGCAGCAGTATCTATGGTCTTCCCATCTCTGTCGCTGCTCACTGTAGCTGTAGCTAGCATTGGCTCTTCTTGCCGAGCCATGGTGTGGAAACGGTGGCAGCGTCGCAGCCGAGCCAACCAACACTGGTCCAGCGAGGACCTCATGTATTTCATACAGGCGCACCAGGAGCTTAGCAAGCAGCAGAACCAGATCGTTTATCTGGAGCTGCAGTTATTGAATGGGGCTAACAGCAGTGGCACCACTTGCATGCTTGTGGATCACCCTGCGATTCTCGATGACGACTCCGCGCATGAAGAGTGGATTCTAGTTTCGGATGATGCCTCCGACCAAGAGCCCCACCACGATGTCCCAAGTGTGCGCAAACCTTCTGGGGCGCTTGAATGGCTCGACGCACATACGAATGGCTCGAGTCTCCAGTAAGGGACAGGGAGCAGCTGATCTCCGACCATAAGTCTGAGTCCAGAAGTTCTTCTCAGGCATGCAGCCCCCGGGATGACGAGGCTGATGTAGCTTGCCAGACAGACTTCGGGGACTTGGGGGTCTGCACTGATGTCCATTCGTCGTTGCCAAAGTCAGCGCCGACGTTTTCCGACTTCCCGACGGCCAGCAGTGGAGAGTTTGCTCCTTACGACTTGCTCCTACGCTGAACTGGCGCCTGCTATCGCATGAAACCAGAAGTCCTTCAGCCTTGATCCATCATGTGGCCGATATGGGGAGCATGGAAAGGGCCGAGTCAGTTTTCGAATTCGCAGATAAGATGACGGTGTTCCGACACCCAACCATCCCAAACACAGCCTTTGAAGGTGATGATGCCGAGCAGCAGAAGATCTTCGAGTGTCAGTTGTGGTGTATGGCCCTCGCTTCCAAGAGCAGGACGCTTTACGCCAGAAGCGATGACCACATTGTTGGCAAGAACGTCCACAGTTTGCTTCGGTACTGCCTGAGTCCAACTGGGTCCTGCACTGATTGGGCCGCCCACTACGTCACTACGTTGTTGGGCAATATGCAGCTATTGGGCTCCCTTTCGTACAGCAGCGTATCGGAGGAGCCATGTTGGACTTGATCCACTTTCAAATGCAATCCGGCAGACCCAACTTACCGCTGATATGGATTATCCACAAGACTCTTGGGACCGTTGTCCGCGAGCTCAGCGTGCATCAGCGTCAGACATGGGTGTCCCTGTTGGTCAGACTGCTCGACCCTCGGGTGTGCACAGAGGTCTGGATGCAAAAAAAGGTGATCAGAAGGTTGGAGTTGCTTTGGGCCGTCGAAGACGATCCCATGCAAACATATGCGCATGCAATGCAGCAGCTGCCAATTTTCCTGCAGTCTACCACATCCGCAGATGAGCAAAGCGCGCTGAGCAACCTCATGCTCGGCGCTCGCGGGTCCTCGAAACGAAAAGCGTTTTGAGGATTCCTCCGAGCACTGGAGGAAGCTGCTCGCCACAAAACTTGTCATTCTGCTGAGTTGCTGGGCTGGTACTATCACTTCGAAGATTTCATGATCTTTCATGTGCATAGGTCATAGGTGTTCTTAGCATGATCTGGCCATTATCAGTTCTTGCAGTGCACTGCTTGTGATATGGGATCCAACGTGTTACGCCCTGATCGTAGCACCAAACCTCGAAGCTTGGATTGTCCAAGTGTGAGCGTCGAAAGTCTCGAAGCCGTCCATGCAGGGCTCCGTGGCACCGCGTGCTCGGGGGCCGAGGGCGCCGGGGTCGTGGCCGCCAAGCCAGCCAGGCTGCGGGGCGCGCGTAGTTCAGGTCTTCATGAACCCAAGGATAAGCTACGCTAAAATGTTCTGGCACTATTTCGTTCTCGTACAGAGTTGTCAGTGATGCACAGCGGAGGCATGTACAGCAGCTGCAACCACGTGTTCGCCGAACGAACAGACTGCTGATGCTAAACATACGAAACTTTTGGATGTTTGCATATATTTGACAGGAAGTTTCTCTCGTCCGTTTACCTTGAGGACTATGCGGCGTACCTGAGCGACTATCCCACACCCGGAGGTCGTAAGACACAGTGACATTTAGTATCCCTTGGTGGTCCTTCTGTCGCTGTACTGTACTAGAGTGAACCCCAAAAGCCTGTCATAATGATTCATGCACGTGGAGGCCCATATGATAAGGCAGTTTCTGTCGGAGGCGGGGGCCGCAGCTGCCTTCAAATCCCGCTGCGGTGCCGCATGTGTTGCTCGGCCGCTGCAGCCTCTCATGATTCCCGACATTGAGTGTGGTTCACATCAAGTCATGTCCGACATGTCCTGTGTGTTCCGTGACGGATATCCACCGTGCCGTTGCATCATGCGGAAAAATCCTCACAGCGAGGTGCCACCGCGCAAGGGGCGAGCTTCATCGTTCTGGCACCTCGGCAAAATTGGAATCAACCTCAGCGCTGCTTGCCGGGACAGCGGAATTCATATGCAGCGGCGTGTGAGACACATCCGTGCGGTTTTGACCACCAGACTCAGCTGGGATCCTCATGCAGCTGACTCGCGGGGTGCATATGAACTACAAATGATGCTGCTGAGCGCGCTCTGCTAGTTGACGCAGCTCGGGGTCAGTTACTAGTTACCACTTCCGGAGTGTCGGACCCAACCTCGAGGCACTTTTTATTTAGGCAAATCAGGAAAGTAGGCTGCCCATCAGAGACGGATTCGAGCAGAAGCTGACTCCGCCGTGGTTGACAGCAATAGCAAACATCTCCATCACGATGCGCTGCAGAGTCGTCACAAGAAGAGTTGTGTATCATGTCGCGACTAGCGTATTGAGCAGTGTCGTTGCCATGCAGGCACGGATCGTGCCCCGCCGGGACTGGCACTGAGCTTCTTCAAGCATGTGAGCGCTGCTTCCTGCGAGAACGCGAGCAGAATCTCGGCCTTTGCAGAACTGTATTTCCCATGTCGCTGTAGAGTCCAGCCACCTGGCCGGACCAAGCCAAAACTTCAATATGCTGTATAGCTCTATACTCTCCACCCAGTACCGGCTCAGTAGCGAGTCAGGAACGCTCCACCCTGCTACATGCCAACTCTTGAACGGGCAGTTCCGTTTTCATGGTCATGCTCAAGATGAACGATTGTGAAGCTCCTCTGGTTGTGCCTGGTGGTGGAAGCAACGGAAGCGCTGTTCTACCCAATAGTTGAGTGAAGCTCCATCTGCTGGGAGGCCTTGGCAAATTTCCAAGGCATGCCCGAACACTGCCGAAACTTCTGCTGCCTCCAACGGCACCTGCTGTTGCACGACAGCTGGGGAGAGGAGTGGTCAGATGGTGGTGCTGCCATATCCCATGGACTCCGGGCGTTCTTTGAAGTCCCCTCTGAGTTTTCACGGACCCGTCAGAGGTTGTCTCCAATCCTTCCGGATCTCTACGCTACAGGCATCTATCCGTGCGGCCTTCACTGCATTTTGCAGATGCAGCCTTTCTGACCGGACGTCGTGCAGGGCATCCCAATTGCATCGATGTCTGCTTTTCGGCACCGGGCAGGCAAGTGCGGGAGTTGGTGCTCGGCAGCCCATGCGAGGCTCCTCATCTCTGTATAGCCTCCAATCCACAAGGCCGCCTTTGGCCCGGAGTGTCATCAGCATCGGGCCCCAAAGCTGTAATTAACGAGAATCATTTGCTAAACGCCTCATCTCCGAGTGCTGCTATTTTGACTGTGACTAGGCTTTCCTTGCTTCTGCTAAGGCAGAATGGGCCGGCCGTCAGTGGTCCACGAACTTCCATTTGGAGAGGGGACGCCTGTGCCTAAAACGAGAGCATGCCAGGAATAGCCAGCCGCCAATCTTGATTGCCGGCTTAGCAGCTTAGCATACAGTCGCCCTCGCAGCCGACATGCTTTCGGTGCTTTCTGCTCCCTCACGCTTTCGCACGAGTTTGAGCTGTGGAGCTGCTCGAATCGATTCAAGCTTTGTCTTGTGTCCATGTGCCCACAAACCTGTGCGGAGGACTAGAAGGAGGATGAGCTCTATAGTCATTACAGCCTGAAAGCCGCATGTCGGCAAAGTCACATGGTCACCAGTGCAAAACCCGACAACAAACCCCAGTACACAGCCTCAGCACTTCTACACAGCCTTTGCCCCCGATATCCAATGAGTGTGGCCTCCCTGGTGTCTTCCATCTCTGGATACCTCCCCGCTGGAGTTCGCGACGCTGCGGGCCTCAGCCCCCAAATCTCGGAGGCCTGCAGCCTGATGCCGTGTTTCAGAAGATTGCAGTAGCCGCGATCTCGCTGACGTGCCGTTACACACTTGGTGGTTCAGGGTCTGCAAGTTTCTGCCTTGCTCATCATGTGTCAGGCTGTGCGCCACATAACTTGGCTTTCCCTGGAGCGCGCACTGTGGCCACCGGAGGCAGCTGGGAGGGCGTGTCCAGACACTAAGCAGGCCGTTGAACTTGTCTGCAGATCCGCATTGTCTCAGAACTGACTGTCTCCCTAGACCGTGGCAGTTCGTCGATAGTGTCCCGGTCCTGGCGGTCGGGTCCATGGGTTGAATACGTTGGAATAATAAACTAGCGAAGAACTCAACCATGTTACTGACACTGCTGTCTTCTCACTGCTCGTCTTTCTTGCGCTTCTCTCGTCTCTCTCTCTCTCTCCCTCCCTCCCTGTTCGTTCTGCAAGTACTTCTCTTTGGTCCTTCTCGTTTCTGTCTTTCCTATTTTGTTACGGCCTCACACCCGTCTCTCCACGATTCTCCACGCAGGGTCTTCCCGCCCTGCTTCTTTTGCGTCAGCTTTGCAGTTGTCTTGCAACACGATGCGGCAGGACTGCGTGACTCGCTACAGTCACAATCGCGCGCACGCGCGCAAGGCCGCGCACTCTCTTGATTCACGCGGCGATCTTGGGAAATTGGGCCTTAAGGCATTGTCCCGAGAGCTGCAAGCCGGGCCGGGCCTGGACTCGTGGCCTTTGGTTTAGAAGGCCAAGAGTCGCGACCCTGGAACCAAAACGCGCTGTTCTTATAGGCATCATCACACGGTCGCCTAATATAGTTATGCCGCTGAGTCTTCACTGACCAGTAACCTGATCGGCTTTGCGCAGGAAACGCCGCGGCAGCTGCTTGTCGTGGGCTACACGGATGGCTTCCAGCTGTGGGATTTGCCGCCCTGCCAGAATGAGCCTCCGGTTTAGCGGCTACGTCGATGTGTGTAAAAATCGTGCGGCCCAAGAGCGCAATATGTCATCTCCAAACAACAAGCCGGTACATGTTCGCATTTTCTTCGACTTGGTGAGTTGCACGGTACTCGTATCAAGATTGTAAATGCGATCGTGCAGAGCGCCCACTTCCTTTCGAGCCTGGGCAGTCTAGGCTGCCTGTCCCAAGACATGCTTCCGAAGCGATCTTGTCAGAGTCCTGCACTCGAAAATTCTAGGGTGTCGGAGAGGCATTGGAGCTAGGTTTCTGTTCGGGAGTTCAGCTTCGGGCTAAGTATACAGTGAGCACAAAATTCAAAGCATGCATGCAGGCACTAACCTCATGTTTGCAACGTCAACTGCAGGAGCTCGCCCACCTCGGAAATCTCACGGCAGTGGTCTTGCTGTCACAAGAGTCGTAGCGAGCTGGCGGTTGGGATGCCATCAGTTGAATAATCCCATCAAATCAAGCAGCAGCCAAGCGGCATGTACGCAATAATAAGTACTATACTAGTACAATGGAGTAGAAACAGGAAGTGTATGCGCGACTCAGCATCGCGTAGACCATGTTTACTAACACCAGGAGGCACGGAGATCCAGAACGGACGAGAACAGTCCGAACCTGCTTGCAGCACCCGTTTGCTCTCCTGCCGCTGAGAGGCAAGATCCGACTGCAGCCAAAGAGTTGGTGTCGAAGTATGCCGCTTGGGGAGATTAAGATGCCTTGGCCACTGGATGAATGCTTTGTGCATCTTTGTGCTCTTGTGCTCTTGTCAGGACAAGGCCGTCCTTCAAGCGCGGCTATTGCCTTTGCCGCTGCTGCCAGCGTCCGAACAGACGGACATCCGGCACAGATTCGTACTGTAATGCCGTTGCCTTCTGGTCGTTATACATTTCGGGGCATCTCAGAGCTGTTTGGTACTGTTCTAGCCAATGGGATCTCACCGCCGCGCTTGGTGTTCTGCCGTCGGAGTGGCCGTGTGTTTTCAGCAGCTGAAAAATTTCCTCTCGGGGTCCTGTACATGCTGAGCAGAATGCGTGGCAACTAACTAGTGTCGAGTGTGCAGCCCCCCCGACATGAGTGAGCGCAGGGCTTGACATGTTGGAGTGCGCAAACAAGGAGATGTCTCATATCTCGCATGCAAAACAATCAGTTTTGTGCAAACAATCCTTCTTGTGCATGGCTGGCCAAGTCTTGAATCCAAAGCATCTTGAAGCCGTGCAACGAGACTTGACTCACTGCAACAGCAAAGTCGCATATCTCCCAGAAGGAGCCCGGCGAAAGTTTCCTGGGCGTGAGCGCCGCCCCTCTCATGGCGTACTTGCACAAGGGCTCGCCGGCCGCTGGGACCGGTCCATTTCACATACGCTCCGTATCCCACAGTGCGCTTTTGGCTCATGTGGCATATATCCTTGTCCTTGCACTTTGAGATGCTTCCCCTTCGCAGCACATCACAATTCTTTTCCATGAGCCCTTAAAACCTTAAAGCGAGAGACTTGCCTACAGACATTGAGCTGATTGAGGGGCACCTCCCTTTCCGGACAATGGTGCCGTGCAATGGCGCATTGGGACCGGGGGCCCATACTGTACCTAAAAAAGCTGGACTGCTAGATGATCAACCAACACACACACACACACTCATACGGGAAGCTGCCCCGCATAGAGTGGCTTCTGTCAGCCGCTGAAGGAAGAGTCTTGGGGTTCAAAGGTGCGCCTTCACACGGGCCATTTGGACAGGCAAAGGTGTCCTTGGGCTGGGCCGGGTAGCCTTTGCGCAGCCACACTCTTGCTGGAAGCGCAGAATAGTCGCAATGCTTTGCCGACATGTTGAGGCAGGAGGGTACGCGGAAGTCTATCAAGTTGCTATCTGGTTGACCATTCATGTTGTCCAACAGCATAAGTCAGTAAGTTTTCATGCTTCTAGCCATGCGGTCGCAGAATAGAGCCAAGCCATTGCAAGGGCAGATAGTATCCTTTCCTTTAGCTTCAGCCTCAGTTCTTTGTCCCAGCAGTCGAAGCAAAGGCCCTGGTGCGGCTCTTCTCCTTGAGGCCGAGCTCCGCAGGTGCCAGCCGCAGATGTTACAAATCAGCTTCCTTTGTCCTGGGAGGAGCCACGACGACGTCCATTTGCTGCGGCTCACAGAGCCTGCAAGGAGTCTACAAGCGTTTCGTCTGCGAGATCTTTTCTCGGTTGGGTGCAGGAGGCATGTCACCGCCCTACAGGTGCAAAGCAGCAGAGACCCGGGAACAAGCTTATCCATCCTTCCGCTTCGACGACTTAAGCAGCTGTGGAAGGTTTGAAGCGTAGTCCTGGAGTAGAGGGTTGCAAGATCTGCATTCTGCATGAATTCGCGCCAAAGAACGGGCCAAGCTTCCGCCTGCGCGTTGGTTGTTTGTGGGACTATTTCTGACCAAGGCTGGAAGGCGTTTCTTTGCTGTGGGCTTCGCCAAGCAGGCACCTGAACATGATCTGCCATGGGGCCCGCGGCAGTTCCTAAAGCAAGTGTGATCCCTAGTGGCAGGACTTTGTGACTTAGTGGTTTAGCTCAATTTGACCATTGGTGGTCAGTCTTATTTAGCTGCCTATTAATACTAGCCTCAGCATTGCTTGGTGGATTCGGGAAGACTTTCATCCCGACGACCTGCAACTTAAATGCAGGTCCCCTGAACTTTTGTACAGGAAAGCCCCCGACGCCAAGGTGACGGGGGTATATATACCTGAAATCCAGAGTCATGCCCGCAGCTGAAAATTTGCGAACCCGCAAAAGTGAAAACCTCCTTTTGAACATCCAGCCCATACCAGCAAGTCAGAGGCTCAAACCTGCTTCCGCCCTGTCACCGGCCATGCATGCGGTTGCGAAGCGGGGGTGCAAAGTTTTGCACCACCCCATGCCCAGACCTTGCAGACTTGCAGGTGGAACTTTACGACGCCCTGCAGTTTCACGCTCTTTTTTCCGCACCTTGGCCGCGGTGGAAGTCGAGGTTGCTGCCGTTCCGCTGAGGGCACTCTGTCTGGGGCTCCTGGTCCATGTGGCTCACGTGTAAGGCATCTGTCTTCTGCCGCTCATCGACTCAAACGTTTGCGGTGTAGTTTAGTCAGAGAGCTCCAGCTTCAAAAGGTACAAGACTCCATGGCATGTCCAGCTTGGTACCCCTCGTCAGCGTTTATGGTTTGGGTTTTCGCACTAGGCATTTCCTTCTAGGGCTTGGGGCCTATAATTGGAAGTCCGCTACCACCTTGTAGGATGTCACCGCGCTTTTCGATGCCTGCCTTCAGAGTTTAGCCTTGAAGACACCCTGAGCAAGAAACGTAGCCCCCTAAGGTTCCCGATTTTACAGGGCTTGGAAGCACCCGACATAAGAAATGCACCCCTCTCCAGTTCCTGTTTGTTGAGGCGTGGGGCGATATAGGAGGCCGGGTTAGGTAGCCCTTCATTTCTGAATCCGCTATGTCTGGTTGCACTGTGCATATTGGTGCATGTAGGAACCTACATCGTGCAGGAATCAAGTTGTGGCATATACGGCAGCATTGTATCAGAACTCGAAGGATTACTGCGAGACCACATGTCAGCACATGCTAAATAGATAGATAAATGCATATTTAGAAAGAATATATACATATATATATATATATACATATACATATGCACATGTGTACATGCACATATGCACACGTATGTTTCAATATGTGGTAGGGCATTTCCATGTAATGTAGATTTCTGCAATTTCTGTGACAATGTGCGGGATGAAATACGGCAGAATGCAGCATACTACACTGCAGGTAAATGCTTTAATCGAGTACAATATAATGTAACATGAAAAGGTAAAGGAGTACAGCACAGTGTAGTAGAGTTTAATAGGATTTTGATACATTGCAATAAAACAGGTCCAATTAACATTACCAACACACTTCAATGTAATGTCTCACAAGCCAACGTGGTGTATAATATACGCTGCCATGATACAAGCAAACAGCTCAATATGATCTAGGATGTATGGTTTTGGTTCAGCCACAGTTGAAATAGCGTGCCATATTTTCATTCGTATAATGCAAAATTCAATGGCATACCATGACCAAGCATAAGGTAACATAGCACAATACAACGCGGTGCAAAGTTATGTGACATAGTGTGGGCTAACATAACACGACATAACATAGCATAACATAGCACGAAGTATGATCGAGTATCATACCACATAGTCCAGATTTGCGTTATGCTATCTTATACGACAGGAAATGGAATAGTAAGGCAGACAGGAGTACCGGCCGACTCTCCAAGCCCGGATGCAAAAAAAGGCAGACACGAGTATGACATATTACCGATGACATTTTCACACCTAACAATAACCACAGATTTATGCATACAGAGTTTTAGTAACATGTGTGCACGCATGCCAGGGCAGATGGCACAAACCGCAGCACAAACCGCTTGAACATTTACACAAAGGCACAGAAACCAAGAACAAACATGCCGGGACCTTGGTCCTTGGTCAGCATGGATGCGCGGCATGGAAATCCGTACTCCGAAAGCCAAGAAGCAGACGTTGGTTCGTTGCAACTGGCCGAGGCTTCCTTCGTAGATTCGTAGAGCGTTCGTTCATCCGTGAAGACGTTTCATTGGAAGGCGGAAGTGCGTGTACGTGATGCACAAAACGCAAGACAAGGAAGGTGGGGAGGAGTCCCAAACTTGTAGCTGTAGGAGCTGTTACGCTCACAGCCCTCAGCGCAGTTCCAAGGTCCAGTGCCACGGGGCGGCCGGGCCTACTTTTGCACTGAGCCACCGTCACTTGGAAGAGTTCAGGGGCTGTGCTTGCTTTTCTGGTTACGGCGCTTTCCGGGCGCCGACCTTGGAAGGTTGGGCGTTTTGTTTGTGGTATGTGCATCGTGGACCGAGGCTGGCTTGCTTACAACCTCCCACCGCATGTGATGGTGAGCACAGGACCGGCTGGGCTGCTCCTGACAGCGGCGATAGATTTGGTTTGCGCATGTGCAAGCTGTGGTGGCCCTGGTGTGTTGAACTGTTCGTGGTCAATTGCTGTAGCCGCTTCCTTCGCGCAGGCTTTCGATGTGATCTCATTGGCATGCGTTGCGCACGTAAAGTGTGCAATGCCATGGCCATGACGGCATGGCATCCATCTTTCGATTTGTTTTTTCGCATCAGTGGAGGTCTGTCAAGATTCGTTTGTGCATAAGGCATTTCCCAGCGAATGGCAGTCCAAGTACCCCATATAGCGAATATATAGGGTTGTAGAGCACAGTATGCCTATGCGCTGCGATGCTTCGTAGACCAAGGCCACACCAGTTGATGCACAGTTCGCATCTCTCATAGTCTGCGGCCTTTCACCTCATTATCTTTAGATCGTTCTTTTGTTGTTGCTCGTTCTTTCTAGTTCTCTATCTGCTATATGTGTCCCTTTCCCTTTCCCGTTCCCGTTCCCGTTCCCTTCCGAATGAGCCCTCCCTGTCCGGCTCCCGCTCCTTCTCGCAGTCCCTCTCTCTCGGTCTCTTCTTCTTTCATTGCTTTCGCTGTTTTCCTGTAACTCATTCTGTTTTTGGTGTTGGATCGTTCGTTATAAATGCTGGCGCTCTGTGTCTCTATCTCCAGTGTCCCTGCTCACTTCTTCCTTCCTTCCTTCTCTCCCTCTCTGTCTCTCTCCCTCCCTACCTCCCTGCCTTCTCCCCCGCCCTCGCTCTCGCACTCTCTCTTTCTCTGGCACTCGCTCACTCACTCACTGTCTCTGTCTCTGTCTCTCTCTCTCTCTCTCTGTGTCTCTCGCTCTGTGTTTTTGTCCATGAATCACCCGGCAGGGAGCAGCTATGCGGGTCCTCAGCCAGGCGAGGGACAAAGATTTGCGTGTGTGGCGATGGATGCAGCATGAGTTGCATTTTTCTGAGGCGCCGGTGGCGTGATGGTCACGTTGTCTTGAAGAGAAAGGTGATGAGCATGGCCAAGATAATGACGGCAGCACTTGCGATGAAGATTACACTTAGGGTAATGGTGATGGTGGTGATGATGATGATGATGCCTCTGCCGCTGTTGGTAGTGATGAAGAAGAATCGATCAGGATGATCACGGATGGTCGCATGATGATGAAGATGACGATGGCTCTTGCAGCAAATCGCGACAGATGTGGCAACATGCCGAGGCAATGCATGATTTTGCATGGCCGCTTTGCAGCATAGCCAGCAAAGTCAATAGTCGTTCGTAGGTGGTGTTGTGTGCTGAGGCCTCCGTGCTAGAAACCGCTATGAGGACCCTGACGACACCGCCAATGGCAATACCAAGCTCTGAGCGAACCCAACGGACATCTGAAGCAGGCGATGTAGATACCATGCCCCAACGCATTTTTTCCTCAGGCCTTCCAGGGAAACCACGGCTCCCGGCGGTGGTCAAGGCTCTGTGGAGCCAACTGGGTACGCAAGCTATCTAAGGGCGCTCTTGTCGCCTTGTTAGGTAGCCTCTTGAGACTTAGCTTCTCCAGCACATCTTCAGCAGCTTTGAGCCATGTGTGCTCTTGATAGAGTCGTGTACAAAGCGATGTGCAAGTCCAGTTTTTCTGAGGACTTCCGCAAAGTATGATTCAGGGTTTATGGTAGCTCAGAGCTTTGATTTGAGCGTTCAGGATATTGTTTGCGGCTGCCGGACCCGACGCAACATTAAACCACGGCAAAGCTTCCAGGAGTGACAGCATACCAATTTCTCGCTTCTTGGAACCTCGAGTCCCAGATGTTTAGCCGAAGCCTCTTGCAAGTTTGCATGTGCAGTGGTGTTCTGGTGTTTTTGCAAGCAGCCGAGACACGTATCTGCAAAATCCTACAATCAGCTTGCTCCGTTGCTTTCACAGCCGGATTTTGCTGTGTGTCAGGATAGTAAGGTGCCATTAGGTGCCTTCTAAACCTGGAAGTCGTTGCCGCAGCATCAGCCATTTTCCTCCACTTCTGGAGGATGGTCTCGAGTACTTGGGCCAAGTGGGCCAACGCACTTTGGACCAGGCAGGGCTCGAGCGCCGTTACAGTGCGCGTGACAGGCTACTACAGGATGGCACAGGCGTGCGGCGTGGACATGCTCTGAGGTAATCTCTCTACTCGAACAGTGTACAGTGTGCTCAACCTCTCTTTAAATCCCGAGACACCCGATTGGGAGCCAGGTGCTTATGCCGCCGACGACGGCCCCGGAGTCGGCATCGCAGGGCTCAGCAAGCTTGAGGAGTGGGAGCGTCGCCGTGCCCTTGACAGGCTTAGGCTTTCGGAAAAGTTTGCTGTCCTAAGAAGAGGTTTACAAGATTCAGGACGTCATTGCAGTCCCGAGGACTCCCTACCAACTTGACGCAAGCTGGGCCATGAATCTGCCAAGACTGCAGGTCTCAAAGAAGCCGCCGCAACCTTCAACCCGAAATACCTCCCTCACAAAGGTACGGGACGTGGAGACGCAGACCGTGATTTCGCAGTTCGAGGCACTTTTCTTCCACAAGGGCCCACCAAGAAGGTTCAAGATCAGGGGGCGCTGCCAGAGTGTCTGAGCAGAAGAATTCTCAACAGCCAGAAGCAATTCAAGAATGGCGAACTGGCAAACAAAACCAAGATGCATGGATTCTTAGTCAAGTTGGGTCGGCGTGCGAAGAGCGGCCGAAAGATCCGTAGTCCCTTGATCTCCTTCCTCAGCTGTGAATCCACCACTCTGGTTCCAGATGGTTCCTGACGGCAGGACCACGCCGAGGCAGTCGAGTGCATGGTGTGGGATCCTTCCGGTCTGCAACTGGTGCACTGTCCGCATTGAGCCGCGCGGTGGCTTGAAAGCTTGCACGCGCGATTTGCTGGGACGGCAAGCCCCAGCACGAAGTTTCTGAAGCTAAGCCACGAGCCATCACTACCACGGCATCTCCATCGCTACATCCCAAGCCCACAACTCCCAGGTGACATGTGCTGCGCTTGGGCATCGAATTCTTGTGCACCGTGCTGTGCTGGGAAAAGGGCACGCCCTTACCTTGGACTCGGGCAAGGACCTGGAAATCCCTGCGACGAAGGAATTTAGGATGTCAAGCGTTTGGGCTTTGCAACAGATGGATGCCGCAGCTCTTCAATAAAGAAAAGACCGAAGAACACAGGTTCCAGCTCAATCCACGATCCCATCACTAGAGGCAAGGATCCAGGAGTTGGCCTTGGCTTTGGCATCGCAGCAACCCAAAACAACCTCGAGAGATAGTGCTGCAACGCATTTCCATCGTAGATTACAGCTCGCCGCCCCGCCTTGACAAGTGCGTGCGTTACACTACCCTTCCCGCCAAACTGGGCTCGGTACCTTTCGAGGCCACGGGCGGTCTGAGACCGGAAGCGTTCGTGTCTCCCCAAGCCAGAGGACGGAGCACAGTTGGGCAGCCTCACTTTCCAGCATGTCTTCACGCTCTCTCGCGGCCTTACACCCGCAGTCATCAGCCGCTCGTCGAAGTCAGCCGTCCGGCTGAGGAGGAATTAGTTACAGAGTTAGAGCTTTCTTTTCTGTGACAAGGCAACATCGCCATATCCGACGACAGCCAATTTGTGGCTGTCTCCTCTGCCAAGGTGCTGCAAGTTTTAAATACTTTCTTTGACTAAGGCGTATGTTCTCGTTTCGGGAAGGTCGAGAGTTGAGAGGTTTCGCAACAATGGGCTTGCTGCGAGCATGGGCCACTTGCACCGAGCAGTTCATGTGACGGCCTCCCAAAATCTTGAGTCAAGATCTCGTTGCTAGATGTTCCTAGTCAGAAGAAAGCCACAGTTAGTCGTTACGATGATTTCAGCTTCTTGCTTCTCCCTGTGACCTTGGAGGGAACGACCCACGTCTTCCGTCTGCCATCCTTTCACTCACATCGGCACCTGGACGGCTACAATGTGCTAGTCCGCGAGAGAGAGAGAGAGAGAGAGAGACAGAGAGAGAGAGAGAGAGAGAGAGGGAGAGAGAGAAAGAAAGAGAGAGGGAGAGAGAGCGGAAGAGAGAGAGAAAGAGGGAAGGGTTTACAGCTCGCGCGCAAGGGGAGCTTCCCCCTGCCCATAGCCCTGGCGAAAGAAAGGAAGGGTTTACAAAAAATCAACTGGATGTGGAGTGCTCGGGCTCGGGGGTTTGAAACAGTGTCTATGTGGAAGGGTTCCGAAAGCCGCAAAGAAAAGCCCCAAGCCCTTTGAGTTCAAGCAAGGACAGGCCGCAAATAGGTTTCACCAAACCTTGACATCGCATGAATAACTAGCGACATGTGCAAATGCTGGGGATGGACAGCCGCCCATCCATGCGTCCGATTGCTTCCATTTCTTCTGCACCCACCCGTACTGGCATCACTGTAGAGACCCATGGCTTGTGGCAGCACCACAGTGCCTTTTTCTGTGTCTTGTTCTGTACACACACAGGTGCATGTACACATGTGATATGTTACACAAATACAAAATCCATCCATGCATACTTACATGCATGCATACACAAGCTTGCGATCAGACGGTGAGGTTCCCCTCCCCGCCCCTCCCACCCGTGAGCTGGCAGCATCTAGTGGTGTGGTCTCCATGCCGCCTGCACCCTTCTATGCTGTTTTGCTCCGACCGCCTTCCCCCCCACCCAGGTGACATGTTGCCTGGAAAACCTGGTTTTGAATGAGAAGCCCATCTACAAAATAGCTGTGGATGCAGCCGTATGATCACATTCATAACATGAGCAGCCCCATGCTTATCAAACACTTCGAGGAATTCTGTATCTCTTCAAGACGAGCCTTATTCTGCGGGACTTTGCACTTGAAGCCCGCTAGACATGAAGAAATCCACACTTTCGGAGCACAGTTTTGTATCAAGTCACGGTTTGAGAGCATGCGATGCCGTAGTCTAATCATGTGTTGCGCTTTGGTAAAATGGCTGCCTCTCATGTCAACTGCAAGAGCGAGCTGCTTGCTGCAACCTTGTGTGGACCACTCCAACTCGTCAAACGGACATGTCATGACCTGAAGTCAGGCCTAAGTAAAACCCCCAAGCCAACAGTAACAATCTGACACGCCTTAACTGTTGAACGCAAAGAAGTGCTCCTGCAAAGCCAAGGCACCAACTCTTAGAGACGGGGGCCGTGGTCGTGCCGGGCATGGCAGGTGTCGACACCGGCCCGGTGACTTGATTCTGCATAGGCAAATCTTTCTCTTATCAGCATGGGCCCAGAATCGGCGGGTAGTAGTGGTGGTGGTAGTGGCAGTGGCAGTGGCAGTGGCAGTGGCAGTGGCAGTGGCAGTGGCAGTGGCAGTGGCAGTGGCAGTGGTGGTGGTGGGTGGTGGGTGGTGGGTGGTGGGTGGTGGGTGGTGGGTGGTGGGTGGTGGTAGTCGTAGTCGTCGTAGTAGTAGTAGTAGTAGTAGTAGTAGTAGTAGCTTGTTGTTGAGGTTGCTCCCGAGGAACGTAGGAGTTGCTGTTGCGAGCCACAAGTTTAAACACTTCTGATTGGCGTGGTCATGAGCCGTTGATGTATGTTGTATATACGCTTAATTATTTCTTTCATACCGCTGGCACGCCCGAGGTGAATCTGAGTGTGTGCACACGAGTGCGACTGGGCTCGGTTCTCCTGCAAGAGGGCCTGATGCCTCACAGCTCCTTCTTCGTGCCTCGGGTGGGCAGGCACGGAGTCCCAGAAATTCCGCAGGAATCCTCAAGCCGTGGATCCCGGATTGCGCGTTTGTCTACCGTTTGTGCGGACCCAAACACATCCAAGGGTGACTGTCTGTCTTTGCCACAGGGGCACTTCCTCCGGCCCAACATTTCCCTGGATCTACGTTGCCACGCGGGCCGGCTCGCTCACGGTGTATCCTGAGCATAGAAGCGCGGTGGTGTAGATCTCGCGGCTGTAAAAAGGCAGGCTCAGGGCGAGGTCAACAAGAAAACAATGTTCAAGTCTTACTAGTTGCGGTTGAGATCAAGGACAGAAAAAAGGTTTGGTGAAAAAGGTTTGGTGTCTGACTACTGGCTGATTGACAAAAGGATCAAAAGGCATCTGCCACCGTTCTGGCAGAGGTGTGGCACAGTCGTGAACCCATTGCTTGCATCGTTCGTTCTAGATTTAAATGTCGGCTGGCAATACAAGGTACTCACTGCATCTGACGCCGTCCTCCTTCGCCAACACTTCCACCGACCCAGGAGAGACCAGTGACGGTGTGGAGCTAAGATCTCGCAAGCGAATCTCGTGAAGCCGTTTTGCTAGCCTCAATGCAGGCCCTGGATCGGAGGAGTGGTCAACATGCCTGCAGCGCGAAACCCGCCTCTCGATCTTGCAGGTCTTCCAGGTCGGTGGTTTGGGGTTTCGGGTTAAGGGTGCAATGGTTTGGGGTTGAATCATAGTGTGTGTGTGTGTGTGTGCAGTATGTGCATCATGCAAAGTCACCTTGCTTTCTTGTGGCGCACTCAGTCGCCCTACCACTTAGACGAAATGTAACCCCCGACGAATTCCAACTTCAGCCCTGCCACTGTTTCGCTTGGCAACAGGATTTTGCTAATGTAGGCGATCTTTCCTGCGCGCACTCAGCTCGAAAACACCACAGCCTAGGAATCTGCCGACCCCTGCGCCACTTCAACGAGCGGCGCCTTTCTGCAAGAGATGGCGAGACAACTTCGGCACGACTTCCGGCGAGATTTACAGCAAGTCTCTGCTTGGTGAAGCCGTCCACAGTCATTCGCCGCACCCGTTCTTGCACGCGGTGCCTGCCTGCAGTCTACTGAGCTCCTGGGTCTACTCAGAAGTGGTGTAAGGGCCTGGGAAAAAGGGTTGCTGGCTTGGCTGGCTCAGCTGCGTCAACCGTCGAGGGTTTTCGAATGGTGTGCAGAAATCGTGGCATGCTTACGCTTTTTGAACCTGCTGCGGCACGGGCTTTCGACGGTGATTTGAGCGGTACAGAACGTGATTGCCACTTCGGTGATGTGCTGCCACAAAGATGGGCTGCGGTAGCCCGCGTGTGCTGTCGAACCTGGACCCTGCGGCAACCGTCCCTGCTTCCTGCAGCAGAATAAACGTCTGAATTTATCAGCACCTCGATCCCTGGCCCAGGCCTGAGCTGCATCCCTCAACCGCAGAAACACAGTAGCGAGCTTCCATGCATCCGTTACAGACCGACAGACGTATACCCGTGGCATGCCCGAACCTGATGACTTTCATATGAGAGAGAGCGAGCGAGCGAGCGAGCGAGCGAGAGAGAGAGAGGGCGCGTGCGCGCGCAGGGGGGGTGCACTGCACTCTCCTTTGGCTGTGCAGAAGAGACAACGTCGCCTGGGGTGTTGTGACGTCTGGTGTGGATTCCAGGATCGGGACCTCCACGCTCAGGGGCTTCGGCCTCGGCCGCTTCCCCGCGGCAGCGCGGCAGCCCGAGGCCGAGGGCCCTCTTGGTGCGTGGAAGAACTGCGCAGCGACGCAGCGACGCAGCGCCCCTGCGTGCGAGAGGATTTCGGTGTAGAGCTCCGTAGTCGCAGTAAGTTTCGCGAAGCCGCTAATCACTTTTGCGTGTCTTGTGGATGAGCCTCCAGGGTATGGGAATCGTACAGGAGGCGCGCACACCTCGAGTTGAGCAGGCTCTCAGTAAAAACGATAGGCAGTCATGCAGGCAACAGTTGCTTGCCGCAGCCAAACTCGTCGGGCATTTGTATGTTGCAATAGTGACCACAGCGAACCACGTAACTTTCTTCGTGGAAACTCTTTTTTTTGTGCGAAGAGGCATGGTTCAGACCTGAGCCCGGCAGCAACCACGAGATCCGATGAGGGTGTCTCGAAATGGCTTGCCTTCGCAGAGACGGACGCTGGGTTGAAATTCCAAGGTTTCCATTTCAGCACTTCAGGCCGTGAAGCTTCGGCAAGGTCGTGCCAGGAGGTGGGCTATATAATTTCACCTAGGCATCAGAGATCTGGGAACACACCACGGAAACGAAGCCAACCCGCCTTCCACAGATGATTTGCGTCTGTTTCAGCAAGAAGATTCGCCCTAGAAGTGTTGACGACGACTGCGCAGCCTGGCATGTATTGGTGCCCAGGCGACGCACGTCTCCACCCAGGTTCCGCTGTGGCTCTGTGCCTGAGCTGGATCCAAAGAGTTGTAGGGGGCAGAGATCGAGACCCACACTGGTAAAAGAACGGCATCATGGCTTCACAACCAGCGAAGAGAGAAGTGTGCTGAGTGTGCACGCCTAGAGTATGTGCAAAAGCCGCCCCAATCATTGCCAACTGGTAGCGTTCAGGGGATGGCACGGCGGAGAGCGGGAGAGAGCTTGGTGGGTTTAAGGCCTACGGGTTTCGCGAGGGCTGGGCGATGATGGGCTCTGGGATCGGTTCCGCGGGCTTGCTTTCCGGGGCACCACTCATTCGCCTTGCACGAGACATGATTCTCAACTCAACAGGTTTTGTTTGTAGGAGGACTGGGCCCCAAAACAGTTGAGGCCCTCAGCTGCATGTCTTCGCCTATCCTCCGGATGTTAATCGCGACCACTTGAATGCATCACTACGAGCTGGGGAGATGGTGCCAGGCCGGCACTCCGATTGATTGCAAAAGGATTCAGACCAAGTTCCCCCACAGTGCTCCTTTGCCCTTTTCTACCTTAGGTTTCGCTTATCATCATTATCACAGCTCTATACCTACCTGTCGTGCTTGTTTGGCTTACCCAACCCTTTACCCGTGTGCATGACTCACGGCATGAAGTACACATTCAGCACGGTGTTCCGGAATGTTCTACAGATAGATCGATCGATAGATGATAGGTCTGATAGGTAGATAGCGGACGGATGCACGGGCGGATCGATAGATAGATGTGTAAGCTTTAGCGTGAAATTGC